TATTTAATAATAGCCGTACATACTTGCAATTGAACCTTTCGGGTTGATTAGCTTAGTACGTACAATAGTTTAGTACGCTTCTTTACCTTAATTAATAGCAAAGAACATGCCATCATTTTGTATGTACCTACAAACTATTTGTATTTTTCTGCAGGTACTAACTCAGGTAGTTTTAGAAAAAGAAATAAACATAAATATATAAAACACCGTGGTATGGAGTGTAGAAGTAAGGAGTACAGACTGCGTATTAAAAAGTGTCCGTAGAAAACCGTTAAATAAGGGTGGCGCCACTATAACTATGGGGTAAATTTTAAAGAACGCACCGAAAAATATTAGTGGGATGGACGACTTTTTCGAGGTTATATTTACTAAATAAAATTATTTTAGATTTTAGAGCTACTGAGCAGTTCAGCAGCACACTGCTAAGTTCATTTCATCCCAGTAGCTACTCCAACGCTGTTGTGGAAAGTTTTTGAACTGTTATTTACTGCTTACAGATGGCCACTTTGTCAACTATTCTACAATTGAAGTTGGTACTCCTTACTTCTACACTCCATACACCGTGGAATTGTAAGCCGTCTCTTTTTTTGAAGTCGGCTTAAAAGGACTATCAAGCATTCGACTTTAAATGTCTACGTGTACTTGAAAAGTGTCAAATATACAAAATTGTCTGGCAATTTTCCTGAACGTGTCATTTACGATAAATACTCCCAAATTCAGTTAAAGTTTGTAACATGCTTGTAACATAATATTTTAAAGAATAACTGGGGAGAAAGATTATATTTATGGATTAAAATAATTTCCTCGAAGTAAATTTATTCAGTAACATTTTTATCCTGACAGTAATTAATTGATGGCCGACTTGGCGTGACTGATATGATTATTATTTTTTTACTCTCAATATAAATTGGCGGTTACATTCTAGAATTATTGATTGCAGAATGTATTATGGAAATTTTAACAACTTAATGTTAGGTTTTAGTTAATAACTATAGTGAATACCTTAGCACTTATTTTTAACTCTTAATCACCTTTAAACTATGAGCCTATGTTGGCGTCTTCGTTCACTCTCAATATTATAAATTTAACGTTATTTTATATACCGTTTACTTTATTTCTTCTGGGGATATGAAGATTATTTAATACTTTTATAGGTAATAGAGGACTTCAATATAACCTTTATCTCGTTTTAATTACCTTCTAATATTTTAAGCCGTGATACAAAACATCTTTGCTTTTTATTTTTATAGTCACAGACCTTATAATTTCTAATACTTTGGTAAAATATAGCTACATCATTAACTTACTATAAGTATTTGGATAGTTTGACAATTAAAAGAACCAAATGAATCGTGATAGAACCAAGTGAAAACGTGCATCGTGTACTTAAAATATTTTTAACTTCATCATCATCACCATTACACCCCTTCACAAGTCCACTGCTGAACATCCTCCACCAAGGAATGCAAATTCAATAACTTTAGTAGTTAACACTAGTTTGTAACTTCAGTAACCATAATTTTTCAGTTCTTGGCTTCAATCCGAAATACTTTTGCTAATGTATGTGTGCACTCTGCGTAAACTTACTTAAATGTTAAAGAAAACTTAAGATTAAAGCATAACTAGGTGTTAGGTCTCCACTAGGTGGTAGCACTCTTTATCCGTCATTCGTTATCCGTCATAATCATAAGTCAGTCTAGGTAGGTCTTTATTTCTGCCGCCAAAAAGCAGTGCCTGCGATAATGTCTTCTGGTCTGAAGGTTATAGAGAACCGGTATAATCACAGGCTGTGGGGCATTCGACTGTGTTACCATTTTTGACCTTAGTTCTTTATATTAAGTTGGTTGCAATTGTCTACGGGCTGCAGTGGTTACCTACCATCAGGTGGATTGGCAATTCTTTTATCACTTCAGTAATTTAAAAAAAATTACCGAAGTATGAACCTTTTATAAGTATCTAAGTAATGAACACAGGAAACAAGTGAGGAACATATTTCAATTAATCCGAAATTTGAATATTTTTGTAATCTTACAAATAGTAAGGTTAATAAAAGCTATAAGAATGCATAACTATACAATTAAATCGATGTACAAATTAAAACTATAAATGCGTGTGAACGAACAAACCATTTTAAAAATAGCACAAAGTTGATAGATGACCGCAGGCGATACTATCTCACAGGGAACAAAGCTCGAGACGTGATTATTTATAAATTATCCTACCCTCGCCGGCGCGGCGTCGCGGCGACGCAGCCGAGATGTTATATCTGGACTACAACGATCTCGCACTGATAACACTAATCAGGACACGGCTGGCTAATTAAAGACTAACCAGTAACGCAAAACCAGCTATGACCTGCAGCAGTAGAGAAACGTGCTTAAAATTCTTAATGGAACGATAGTCTTAACGCGAAATGATATTTCTGCTAACTCGTGCATGTGCAACGTTCTTCGAAATTTATTAACCCGTTATTTATATTTGTTGCTTTCTACCATGTATTCAAGTTATCTTTTGTGCGTATTGCGATGAGATGAGAAAAACATTAGTAATATTTTAAGCTCGATAAGTATAGTAAGATTATTGTACGACCGAGGTCTTATACAGGGTTATTTTTCAAAGAGTAGCCAAATTTTAAACTTAAGTTCAAATATATATATAAATAATGATATACCGTTATTGCAGTTTAAAATAAAAACGAGTAAATAAGGCTTCTACTTTTATTTGAAATTATCTCAAATTGAATGTGGTTTAATGTTTATAGGCCACAACGTTTTTGCCTACCGATCGACCGACCCTTACGAAGGTGTGCGTGCGCAGTAGAATTACCAAGCATTTTGAGTTTAAAAGATAAAAGGGACAAAATATTTAATATTTTTTAATCTGTATATACCTCCTGACTAATGATGTCCCCTTTTTCAATAATAGAAAATATTGTTGTACGAAAATTTTAACGTTTTTAAAAATATTGTATATATTATTATAACGTCAAGAAATGAATTGTAGAAGTAGCTAAATACAAACTATTAAATTTATTATGATAAATAATATATTCGCGTCATCTACATCTATCATCACCCTAACCTACAGAGAATCGACTTTGACATATCACTAGTTTTGGTGTACTACTGGTGTGTACTGGTGGTGTACTTTGTATAAGTAAAAGTGAAAAATATAGTAATAGTAATAGTACTTTACATGGCTACTTATCGGTTTTGATAATTTAACATTATAATATTCTTATTACACGTTCTATCGTAATTCTTAATGCCATGTTTCGGGATTTGGTTTTTTTTATAGCATAACAGTGACAAACGAGCACACAGTCCACCTGTAAGTCGTGACTGTAGCCCATAGATATCTATATCCTCGATTACAATTAAAAATTCAGATGCGCTGTGACCCGTGAGAACTAAGATGGAATGCCTCCTTTCCAATAAGGTCTCCGGTTCCCTCCACTCACCATAAGAAACACAACAGCGTTAAGAGGATATAGTAAGTCAGCTCAAATTCTAATTTGGCCCCCAATCCCCCGCGCATCGTATGCTATGTACCGACATGTTTGTAATCACTAATACTGTAAGTAGATAGGTCGTTAGATACTTATTTCATTAGGTTTATCATATTTATGCCTGTTTCTTAACGCCAACCAAGTCGTTTCTTATTTTTATTACGGTTATTTCCCATTTTAATTTTACGTCGTCCTGTTGCGTAACGTGTATTCTGATCGTAAGCGACACAACTTCCCCCTTCAAAGGCCGAAGCAAAACTGACCGGGCGGCGGGCGGCAGGAATCAAGCTTCAAGATGCCAATAGTTTAGGTAATTTCTTTTTTACAGTGAAAATATTGGTATTTAAAAAAAATAAATAAAAAGCCTACTATATGCAAAGTCATGATCTCATTTAAAGTAATTTATGAATAACGGCGGTTTATTGTTTATTTTGAAGGTAAATTTGGATTTTTTTTTCTATCGAGAAAATTTTACGGAATCGTGTTTTCGTCTAACATAGTCCTTAACATAATCTCACTTTAACATATATTTATTTCTAAATTAATGCTGCAATATTTTCGGCATAACGGAGGATCTTGCTAAGCCATTTGAGGTTATATTTCCCCTTAAGCTGCTATTTTGCGCTGGTATTCTATAAGGGCGTGGTCCTTCCCCGATCGAGCCGACCCATTCGTGCTACAACTATACTGCTAATATAGATGTAGTATGGCTTTACCACGTAAAAATTGTCTGTTCGAAAATGAGTTCCAATGTGTTATAAATTATAATAATATCTTTCGTACAATTATTTTATAATACTACTACTATACCTGTTAGGTTTTAATTTCCTTCTCCGTTTTATTATATTTAAATATTACTTAATAAATTATAAAAAATTGTTATAAATATATTATCTATCATATGACTCACGCATGAATACAGTCTACAACTTACTTGTCAAGGTTAAGTGAAAGATACATATTATGTATGTAATTACTCCAAGTAAAGTTACTTTATAAGTGACAGTCAAGTTTACGTCAATTGTTAACTAAACTGAACTCAGTTAATAAATATTTTAAAACAGTTAGCGTAAGACAGCCGTAGACTCTTTACAACACCTTTTAAAAATATTTTTAAATAATGATGACATTACCGAATGCGATTTAGATGCAATTTTATTGTTTAGAACAAGTATGTGTGCTCGTTGGAATAAGAATTCAGGATCCGTGACTTAGATGTGAATGAATATGCAAGTGACGCAGTCACCAAATATTGAACAATATCAAGCTTTGTTAACATGTTATTTTAAATTAATTATTTTATTGTTACAGAAACTATAGAAGAACGCGGCGTCGGCGAGGCGCCCACCTCCACACGCCTACTGATGACACAATAAATTGTGATGCTGACACGAACAGGATCCTATAGGAAACTGCGTCCTAGAGGACGACGAAGGACGTTTTAACGCAACAACTACTAGTTATATAAGTGCAAGTGCCTAAATCGTTAACAATGTTGGGGAACCGTCGCAACTTTATCTTTAGATTGAGTATAGTCATTAATATAGCCGTGTTGTTCTACGCGGCTATGCACTTATCCGGCAATGGAGCCCCTGGAGTCGAATGGGTTACGGTTGACGGATCTGAAAGAAGTGCCGAATTCCGGTACATCAACCGAGAAGATGTTCGAAACGAGACTGAGACGAGGCCGGTAGATTCGAGTGTTAAAAATATCGAAGAGTCCACGTCGCCGAAGACCCCCTCCACCATGCCTTCAACAAATAAGACAGCATCTAGCACTGCATCCATTGTCGAATTAGAGAAGAAAATACTTAGTATAGTGCCATCGGAACCAGATACAACGAATGAAACAATACTCGATATAGTTGACGAAAATGGCTTAACAGATGCAACGCTGGCGCGCCTTCGGACGCTTCTCGGGTGTAATGAAAAAGATTTCCTTCCTCAGACCATTCAAAGAGGTGACTTCTGGGTGTTAAAGAATTTTGTGCGTGCTGACCATGGCATTATTCTATGTCATGAAACAATCACCTACACAACACACGCTGGCTTTGAGTTCCTGGATAACGTTCAGCCTCTAGTTGAAAGGTAAGTGCAATTTATTACTTGAAATATTGAAACTTAGAGCTATTTTGCCATTGGTAAATGTTCAATATGAATAATTATGTGGGTTTTATAAAATTGAAATAACACTTCACTATAATATTTATTTTATGTTCAATTATAAACCTTGAAATAAAATAAACTAATAACAGACAAACGCTCTTAACGAAATCTATAAAGTTTTTGCTAGGTACGCGGGCAATCACTTAGTATACTTAATTAGTTTACGTTTCTCGAATGGAATAGGACAAGGTTTGCAAGATGTGATTAGTACAATCGCGAAATGCATTTGCATGTTAATAGTCTATAATCAGAATGTCGTCACGACTTAGAAGAATTCTTAGTTGAGAAATTGTTGCATTTGAATATTTGCCGAATAATAATTTATACATATTTATATCATAAATTATTATATATATTTATGATACAAATATATATATATATATATATATATATATATATATATATATATATTATAACATTTTCTGGCATTTGCAATACCTAGTCATCTTTTACGACTCCAAGGGACGCAACTGGGTAATGAATTTTCTTAATATGCCACCACACGGATACAAGCGGCCGCATGTGTCAACAATGACCTTTAATTTCATAATGCGAATCGTTAGAATGACAATGATGATAGCGTACGAAAGTTCATGGTACTACATGTTGTAATTTTTTTAAACTCAATATGTTAGTAATAGAGCAACGTTGAAAACCTTATAAAATTAAATCGTACAATAAAAGCATATCACTGTAATTGATTGGATTATTCGAATGTACTATTCTTAATAGATGTTAAAATATATAAAGTTAATGGGTCTATTTACTGGTCTAATACGAACTCGGAAATTATAACCTCAACAGGGACAGTTTTCTAAAATGTTTGTAATTTAAATGATGACGATATAAAGGGAGTCGGGGGAGTTAACCAACTTTTTCTCTAAATGCCGATTTCATCTGCACTTAGTGCAATGACATGTTGACTGAGGGAAGAAACTCTGCAGACCGATTAAAGTTGCAGCCTATATACGTCCCCCTGCTGGGCACAAGCCTCCTCTCATTTCTGAGAGAGTTTTAGAGCAAGGAAATATCCGCCGCGCTGCCCCAATGCGAGTTGGTGAACATCGCATGCCTTCGAAATATTTTTTTTCTTATTACTCAGACATGCAGGTTTCCTCACGATGTTTTCCTTCGCCACAGAGCACGTGGTAAACCGACACTTAAAATTGTAATTTACAATTTCATTGGTGCCGGCGGGGATCGAACCCTGGTTGCTCGCTTACTGTGAAATTTACAGCCAGCGCTTAAAAGCTATCACGGCCGACCGATTTATTAAATATTATTAATTAAATTTTTCGTGGTCCGTACCCTTAACAAACAGGTTATTTTCGATTTTGTTATGTTGTTGTTATGTGATCCGTTATTACATGATGTGGTTCCATAGGTATCGCAAGAGGCGAATATGGGAAATCCAAAAACATCTATGGTTTTATTTCATTGATAGAATCATCTCGTGTACGCCAGAGAACAGCTTAAAAGAGAAGTCATCAGATAATAAGATGATGAGGATACTTTACTCAAGTAGTGACTTTACTAACCCGATGTAATTGTTTTGCGGAATGCAGGCAAGAATGAAGTTTTTGAAAACTATAACAATGCATTCAAAAACAATTATTTTGTATCCTTGTACTTGACTTCCGCATAGTGGATCTGGTAGATACCGCATGAGAAAGCTCACCTAGTGTTCCGGCGCGAGAAAATAGAGGAAGAAATTGTTCTCTTCATAGGGAGAGCTTCTAATGCGCGGTGTCGCTGGCTATTCACAAAAATAAACAAACAAATAGGATAAACTAATCAGTTGATTTAAAAAAAAACTTAGCGGAAATAATAAATTTACCTAACAGTTATCGATAAAAATTGTAATAATTATAATAAGCTCATTAAGCTCGTAAGATAAGAGAGCGGTTTATTAAATAAATTGAGAGATTAAAGTACACTTGATATAATTATTGATTATAAATATTTTAAAAAATATATTTTTTTTAATACAACTTCACTTGTATGAATGTCCTGGAATTTGGCAATCAATATTTCACCCACTTTCACTAAAGCTATCGGGCTAACATTTGGCACACACGTTTGGCTCTCGTTACAATGCACGATTATTAAATGCTGCTATTTTAATCCAAAATGGCAGACATAACACACCACACCACAGCAACACATATGATATGGGTATCAAATGAAAGGGCTTGTGTAGTGAAGTGTCATTCTAAATCCAATATGGCGGATACCAAAAGATGGCGAACTATGTTTTTTTGTGCACCCTAATGATAGGGATATCGATTGAAAGGGTTTGCTGAGAAGAATACGAATAAATTAAAATTGTTTTTATACTATTAATTTATATTACTTAAATAAATTCAAAATTAGCCTATAATATAATGTATCAATCAATCACTATATTCTTTTTATACACTTAGTGCACATAATTATCATTACATCCTATCAAAAGGATGAATTTAGTCGTAGTCGAATGTTTGTCGTAGTTGCCAAGAAACGTACCAGGTTGGTTGGCAGCCACAATTTTGTATTGTTTAAGTAGTTGTTATTAGAAAGACACTAATTTCCTACTTTGTTTCCCTTTGTCGTTCTTACGACACTCACAGGACGATATAGAGTAGTAGATATACTTACGCCACCAACACATGGTAACCAATACGTATTACAAAATATTATAGTAAATAATCAAGCGATTTCCGCAGACCACCTTTTTTCGCAAAGACCTGTTGTCAACAAAAAAAAAAGCGAAGAGAGATATTTCAGAGTAAATAATACACCTACCGGTACGATCATTTAAGTTTTTACTCTTTTATTAATTATTGTATATTTAAAAATACAGGTAATGTAAAAAAAAACTAAATGTCTTAAATCATTTAAGCTTTACCATTTACTTTATATCACGGTGTCCTAACATTAATTACTAAGAGCCCACTTGCAATGTTCAGAATTCATATACATTTATTCATAGAGTATAATACAATTTATACATTTTAAATTATATTTTGTAAGCCATGGTAGCTCAGGCGCTAAGCGCTCGCTGCAAATTTAACAGTACGCGAGCAACCCGGGTTCGATCGAATACCACGTGTTCTGAGGTGAAGGAAAATAAGAAAAAAAATATTTCGAAGGCATGCAAAGTTCGCCAACACGCATTGGGGCAGCGTTTTATTAAATTTCACGCGTTTGTAACCTTTTTAAAACTGGTGATATAATATTTGGGAAACGAATAAGCATAAAGACACACAAACAAACCTGTTGACAGTCAATTGTGTAACAAAGGAGCGCAAATTGCATGGCACCGCGGTGCTGACTTACCCCACACGATGCGCGCTCAATAGCATCGTCGCGTCGCACCGATCGAAAGATACCTTTTAGTTTCGAAAATGTTGAGCGCACGGGGCTCCTTAGTGCTGCGGTTATTTGTTCTAGCATTATGAGGTTTTGTTTTATGTTTGTTGCTTTTATAACAAGGACCTTTTTGAGTACGATCTAATTCTTGTATGTTATATAAAAAATCAAAACGTGAAATTATTAATTCGCTATTGTTTAGTGGTGGCAAACGTGTAATAGCGGTGTAAACAATATTTACTACCTCATATCATCCCGTAGATATCGTAATGGGCGACGGAGGAAAACAAATCAAGACATAGACAGCATCGTATTCGTAATAATGACGAAAAATAAATAAACTGTGCCTGCCAACCCGAAAACTATGGAAAATATGCCCCCTTTGAGGTAATCCCTATGGGGGAGGCCTATGTGCACCAGTGGACTTTAATAGGCTGTTAAGGTAAAGGCGGCAGAGTTACGCTGCAGTTTATTATGACTGTAGCACAAACCCATTAGTGCTGTAATCGACTCGACTAGGGAAGGACCACGATCTCACAGAATACCAATGTAAAATATCAACATAATGCTGCTGTGTTTTGTAAAGACCGATTTATACATAGACAATTACAGTAGTGAGTTAACTTGCGAACCTGGCGAGTTAAGTAGAAAACCTCGTTTGAACGGCAATTAGTGAGTTAAGTAGCAAGTAACAATTAAGTTAAACGGAATAGCTGGCCGGTATATTTTTCGGCGAGTTAAGTTCGAAGTGTTGCCCTCCCTCGGTTCAGTGCATAACAGGGACAGGGTCCATATTTTCGCGTTCGACCCTCAAAATAAAAAATTATACTTTTGTAACTAAACTCGCCACGAAGACATTTGAACGCCATGTAACTAAACTCGCTACTGTACTTGTCGAAGTGTAAATCGACAACGCATCTGCATTTTGATTTTTAATCGAGGATAGATGTAAATGTTTATGGCCGCAGCAACCACTTACCATCAGGTGGATGGAGCGGAGTGTGATGCTAGTTTGTCACCCTATCCTATAAAAGAAAAACATTGCCGTGGGAAAAATGTTCTACCATACAAAGGTTATATCACCATATTACGGTCGATGCTATTAATGCAAATAAATGTAATTTTGTAATCGCAAAATCTTTTCACTACAAATAAACAATTTTCGGATTTTTCCCATTACTTGTGCTGAGAGATCTTGCATCTTGTCAAACTTCAATAAGAAATTTACAATAGGTTTTGGAGGGTGAGTTTGCTAGTGTCAAAATATTTTTTAATTTTTATAATGCTCTGTTTGCATATAAAAAGGCGCACTTAATGCCAAAGAATATGTCGCCACCAGTCTACCTTGCGATATAAGTGACGTATCTTTTGAATAAGTCGACTTTGCTTTTTTGCTGTTCCGAGTGACCGTAGACCTTATTATTCCAACTTGATACCATTACCCGCTCTTGAGAAAAAGGGCCTTGACAGATAATCTTATATAAGCGTTCCGTTTCTTCCTTTTGAGGTACGGAATGCAAGACAGCTAATCAACACTGCGAAACTGTTGTTTCGAAATTAATACATCTGTG